AGTATATAGAAATAAGAAAAAGAGAATAAATATGATATTTAGGATATAAATATAAGATTTAGAATAATAAAATAAAAGTGAGATAATTATACAATTGGATAAAAATAATAATAATTAGATGATAAATTGTAAAAATTAAGAAAAAGAGAATTTTATATAATCAAAGAAGGATTATTGAATTTATATTACTACGATAACAATATCACATAATTATATTGGTATAATGTGAATTCATCTTTCATTACTTATATTATTAGCTTTTGTAGCTTGTTCAAATTCTTCTATTCAAATAATTCGATTATCTTGATCATTTCTATGAAATGTTGAAATTGGAATTGGATCTTGATTTTGATTACTAATTAAATCTGCTAATTGTTTGAGAGTGACATCTAGAGTAATCATTATTGGTGATACAGATAATAGTGATAGTGATGATAATTTTAATTTGATATTTTCTAATAATAATAGAGGTGAATCAAGAATTAAAACATCTTGTTCTTCTTCTTCTTCAAAGTTTTGAGTTTATTGAGTTGTTAATGATGTTTCTAGATAATTTTGAAAACTTTGTTTAATATTTTGAATAACTGTTGATGTTGTTGCTACTGTTTATAAATGTAATTCTTGACTTGTAATTGTTAATATTAGTGTTGATAAGTGAAATTTTTGTTCTATTTTATATTTGAATAACCAAGATTATCTTTGTTAATTGAAAGTTTTAAACTTCTTCAGTTAAGTTATTGAGATAATTAAATAATACAGATAGTTTTAGAAAAGTATATGATGTTAATCACTGTTGTAATCAGTATTTGATAGTATTTTTGATAATATCAGCTTCAAATAGATTATAAAAAAGTTTAAATAATTCTCTATTTTGTTTCTTTGTAAGTTCAATATTGATTATTTCTCTTACAATATTAATAAATTAATGACAAATCTCAACTTCAGTTAATTTAGATGGATCTAGTTTTGAAAAGTAATTTTAATTGTATCTAGCTTCAATTTTACCCTCCACAGAGGGAGCATCAAAAAGCTATTATCATTCTTATATTGATAGATAAAGTATTAACTAATTATAGTAATTAATTAAGAATTATATAAGAGTAATTATAATAATTGTGTGTACTTGAGAGAGTTGGATACTAGATAGTTGGGAGAGAGTATTAAAAAGAAATAGATTCTAATACTTCCACTAGTTAGATAAGTATTTTATAATTTAAAAGTGCGAATAATTTATTAAAAATACAAAAGATGACTTCTATTAGTTGGATAAGTCAAAGTTATATAAATAATAAATTAAAGATAACAATAAGTAAAAGATTAATTAGAAGTATTAATTAACTTCTATACTTTTATTACTTTCAAAATTATTACTGAGATTCTTATTATTCTATATTAAATTATATCTGTTTAAATACATGTAAATGTAATATAAATCTATATAGTGAGTAATGTTTAGTATTCCTATGAACTGAACTGAACCAGACTTTTGCCTGGGTTCGAGTTCAGTTTGAAATTCGAACCAAACTTGAACTGAACTTTGGCTTGTATTCAAGAAAGATTTGAAGTTTGAACCAAACTCGAACCAGACTTTCATTAGAGTTTGAGTATGATTTGATGTTTGAATCCATCTCGAACTGGATTTCCATTTAAGTTTGAATATAATTCGATATTTGAATTGAACTCGAACTGGACTTTCATTTGAGTTCAAGTAAAGTTTAATATTTGAACCAAACTTCATTCGAGTACAAGGTTTGAATCAAATATGAATCAGAACCAGACTTTTAGATGAGTTCATGAAAATTCACACCAGATCTTTAAATTAACTTATAATTTCTAAGTTCTATCAGCCTTTTTTAGCTGAATTCAAAATTAAGTCAGCTTTGCAATTTCTAGTAATTAATATATAGTTTAAAATTATTTATAATATATCAAGTATAACATACCAAAATTATAATATTTTTATTTTTCAGAAGTATAAATTATTTAGAAAATATGGAAAAATATAATATAATATTTATTTTATTTATGGAACCATCTTCCAAATTGAAGTTGTACTATACCTTCCAAATTAATATCTCCTTCTTTTTTATATCATTCATTCTTGCTATCATTTCACACATCTTCAGCTTTGCTTTCTTTTTTATCATCTTCATTTGTAACCTCATCCTCCTTACTTTCAATCACACTCTCTTCTTTATCAAACTCATCCTCCATTTCTGCTGTCTCACCCTTTACTTCTGCTATCTCATTCTTCTCACTATTGATTACATCCTTCCCAATAGCTTCCCCACTCTCCTTATTTGCTGCCTCACCCTTCTCTTCATTAATAGTTTTCTTTTTTTGTTTTTCTGCTTTCAAAAAAGATGCAAGCACTTTGGGTTGCTCTCTGAGCTGTTTTAAACGAATTTTCTTTTGCTTTTTCAGTTCTTTATCCCTCTTCCACTTATCAGTTACTGTCACAGTTTTTGTTACCAGATTCTGTGACCAGACAGCTTGGTAACCAGTCAAAGGAACAATAGTGATTCCATGTTCATCTCACTGAGGAAAGCACCACAAAGTGTTTGCATTCAATTCAATTAAAATATCATACTCTAAAAGAAAAAAATTTTCTTCTATAAATTCTCCTTCTATATATTCACCTTCTTTATTTCAAATTTCTCTTGCACACACACAGGACCAGGTATATTTCAAAAAGTTTTTGTCTATGTGAGCATGTTTCAAATAATTAAGAGCAGTATATACTTTACACAGACCCAGTTGGTAGGGCAAATGTATTACTGTTCCTCTATAAGTCATATCGAAATCAACTACTCCTTTTGCTCCATATTTGTCATTATTCAATCTGAACAGATCATGTTCTTTAAGCAGTTTAGCTACATTCTCTACTAGCTCTTTGAAAAATAAATGCATTATATAATTATATAACAAACTTACACTAGCCACTATATGGATTTCTCTTTCTTTGAATTCTTGGATATTCAGCAAGATTTTTGCTATATTTCAAATATGTGTAAATATTTCATAATGTTAGGTACACAGATACCCTGCAGCTATCATATTTTCTTGTTTTAGCTTTTTAATCTCTCCCCTTTTTACTTTAGAGCATTCTTGAAACATTAAGAGAACTGACTCGAACATGAAGTCCAAAGTCTCCTTGCTGATGTGATTTTGATAAACTGCACATATGAGATAGTCTGTATTTGCATCACGTACTTCAGTCTTTTCATGCTTTCGAATCACATTAGGCAGCAGATTCTCAGCTCTGGCTTGCTTGACATCAGAAATAAAAGCATTATCATTCTCAATATATTCATAATTTTTTTTTTCAAAGCAACATTTTTAAGGTAATCAGGAAAAGGACTTAAAAGCTGAATAGGAGCCTTTTCAGACTTTAGAAATGCTTTTTCTGTGAGCAGATTCCTTCTAACCTGTAGGCAAATAAATATTATTACCTGATATTTTAAAAAATTAAATCATTCTGCTATAGTTAAGATAAAAAAAAGCTAACTTACAAAATTTCTTTTCAAATATCTGAGTTTAACTTTAGAACTCGTTATTCTTTTATGCAGACTTTGGAAAGCTAGTACTATTGCTGTAGAATTTTTTATTCTAACTTTTGTTGACTGTGCTTTCAAAAAATCCATGAATTTTTTCCAAATGATTTGCTGTATTATCAATTTTTTAAGTGTGTTAATATATTAAATAATTAGAATATGAGCGATACTAAATATATTTTGGTCTTCATCATGAGGGACTCCTGTTGCTATCTCTAAGAGCTCATGAAAGGTCTCATGAGGCTCAGCGATAGTGACAGCAAAATCAGCTTCTTGCACTTCAGCCAGATAGGTTGCTAGCTTTTTGAATAAAGATTTTGTATGTACATAATATGTAAAAAGTTTAGCTTTCAAATAAAGACTCTGAATAAACACAATTTGTAAGAAGTTTTAGCTTTTGAATTTTTTCTTTTAAATCTTTTGATAAATCCCTTTAGGAAATTCAAGCTGCAAGCAACTTTATGCTCAACTTTCCTGAAAGAATACTAACAGTGCTTTATATTTAGTGAGCTTTTATCTCTATACATACAGTAGCTACTATCTATCGAAGCAGTTTGTGTTTTTAGAAAAATTCAGAAGCTGCTTGCTACACTTGTTTGGGGTCATCTTCAGTCAAAGCGAAAGCAAAATTAACTGCTTCTGACTTCCCAGAAGAGATCCTGCAAGGCTCACTTTAGCAAATACCCCCACCTCTTTTATATACATAACTATCGATACAGCATGCTTGTGTGTTCAGAAAGATTTAGATACTGCTTGCTGCACTTGTTTGGAGTTATCTTCAGTCAGAGTGAAAGCAAAATTAACTGCTTCTGACTTTCCAGAAGGAATCCTGCAAGGCTCACTTTAGCATACACTCCCACCCCTCTCACATACATAACTATCGATACAGCCTGCTTGTGTGTTCAGAAAGGTTTAAATGCTGCTTGCTGTACTTGTTTGAAGTCATCTTCAGTCAGAGCGAAAGCAAAATTAACTGCTTTCAACTTCCCAGAAGGAATCCTGCAAGACTCACTTTAGCAAACACTCTCATCTCTCTTACATACACAATTATCGATACAGTACAATTTTGCTTTGCTGAGTAGTACAGCACTTTTTTAAGTCAGAAAGAATATCTGCTTTGCTTCATTTACTCGACTTTTAAAAAGAAATGCATTATGCACATACACAGTGTTATGATTTAGATTTTCACTAAATCATAAAGTCATATGCTGTTAAAATCTTATATTCTTATTGATTATATTTTATTTATATTTTATTAGATATTATTTTTAGTACACTAAGTTACACATTACTTGGTAACACATTTAATGTTGCCTTGGTTACATTCGATGATGC